TAGGAGAGAGAGAGAGAGAGAGAGAGAGAGAGAGAGAGAGAGAGAGAGAGAGAGAGAAAAAGCGAGCAATGTTGAACGACGTATTAACACGCCATATGGCGTTTGATAAGCGAAGACTCGTGGCTTTCGGCTCGAAAATGTAATCGTAGTCGCGGTGGACGAGCACCGCATCGAATATTTCTTGCGTAATAATGATCGAGTTTTACAGCAGCGTGTCTTTCGCTTAACGCGAGGGAACGCGCGAGAACCTCTGGCCGATGATGAACAACCTATTGTCATTTCGGATTAAACGTTTACACGATGTCAAAAGATTCGACCGATTTTTATTTAATCAATTATCACACAAACGTTATTTTATTACATAATAATACGAAAATAATATCGCATTAAACATTTCCCGTCATTCGCCCACCAACTCGCACTGTGCGCGCACGCGCGCGTCATACATCGGGCTCCGTCGTCGAGTTACGTTAAACAAATCACACCGGAAACCCCCGCTCGCGCATAAAACGTGCGTGCGTCGACGCGAATTTCGACGTCGAACGACAGGACATCTCCATAAAGCGACGCGCAAAAAGCGATTAAAATGCTTTCACGGCGCGACCGATGCGCGATCGCTCCCCCTGTACCCGGCGCGCGCGCGCGAATATATTTTTGTAATTACCGACCGGGGTGGCTTTGCGTATGCGCGATCGCGAGAGCGAAAAAAAGAAAGATCCCAGTCTGCTGTGCGTTCCGCGCGTTTCACATTCCACACTAGCGCCAAGAGCGCTAGTTTTCTCTCATCGATGGTGCCGATGCCGCTGTTTCGAGCATTCACTCTGTGTTCTGGGCCACCCCAGAGACTTGGCGTAAGTTGACTTCTTACGCGAGTGATGGTGCACGGATATTCCGGGTCGGGTTGTACGGGCGTGTAGGGGCTAGATACGAGGTTGGGGCTAGATTCAGGGTTGGCTCGGTTTTGGGGTGTGTGCCAGTCACCGGGGGATATGTTCCACGGCTAAACTCACCCTTCTTCTCCCGGCGGTTTCCTCCCTGCCTCTCAACCCTCCCTACCTCTCGTGTTCTCACTCTCTCTCTCTCTCTCTCTCTCTCTCTCTCTCTCTCTCTCTCTCTCTCTCTCTCACGCTTTCTGCGCCTCTTTCTAACCCTCTCTCTGTCATTCCGCCTCATTGTCACAAGCGTACATCCGCTACACATGCACACGAGGATGCGCGTATTCCTCTGAAAGCGCGTACGTGTGCAGCCGAAGCCCCCCCCCTCTCTCTCTCTCTCTCTCTCTCTCTTCGGCCCTCTGGTTCTCTCGGTTCTTTCAACCCCTATACACCCCCGCGAGGATCAATACGAACCAATGGTTATCGCGTGCCGATACTCTCTCTCTCTCTGTCTCTCTCTCCAGGTTCGTCAGCCAAGCCCCTCGAAAAGATTTCGGAAATCGTTGGGGAGGACCTGGCCCCTTTCTAAGCGGCAATAATTCCACGGGAGGATCGCTCGGAAAAACTACCCCGCTGTTATAATTAGATTCGGAAGTATGTAGACAAAGTTAATATTGATTGTAAGGCAGGACGGACAGAAGCGCGCCTCCGTGTTCGCGCTGGCTCAAATGATGAAACAATCGGGAAAAGTCCGCGCAAAAGTTATATTTTTAATTTTAATAATTGTTTCCTTCGGTTTTGCCCGCGATAAAAATGAGACGAGCACACGCAATTCCGAACGTTCCGAGTTTGCGTCATCGTTACGTGGCTGAGTTATTTTGCATGGCGATTGCGGCGGCGACGGAATAACGGAAACAATTTTCGAATGCCCGCGAGACTCGAATATCGCATCGTAATTAAAAAAAAATTTAATGAGCGCGTGTCCTCTCCGCGCTCCGCGCATGCAGACGTGACTTAACGCGGAAATAAAGTTACGCGACGGCAAAATTCACGTCGATACGTTCGACGACGGGATACCGCGGGCGGAAAAGAAAGAAAACAAAAAAAAAACAAAAAAGGATAGGCATAAAAAGGAACGGCATTGTTTCGTCTCAACAATATCGCCGGAGAATTCATTAAAAATTTTAATTAGCGACCACGCGTTTCGAATGCATACAATCGTAACAAAGCAACTTTGCGAATTAAGAGAAATGTACAAAAAGGCAGAGAAGGGCATGCGCACAGCGTGTGCGCAGCACACAGTTATACGAATATATATATATATATATATATATATATATATACGCCGGAAACTTTGGCTTGTGTGCGTGCACTTTTCGATTCCATAAAATCCGCATTAAATCATATTAGCGGACGTTTACTCGCGCACGACTTATATCCACTATTATCGTACGTACACCCCGATAATAAATTCAGCAAGAGCGTAAAGCGACTATCGACGAGCGACTATTTTCCTCAGCGTTCGTTTAGACGTAAACTTATTAGAAGAGCGCGAGCGAGCAGAGAGCCAGAGAGAGAGAGAGGCATGGTCTCGCGATGAAGCATGGTGCAGCGTAACATGGAAATTTAGAGATCACGTCTCCTCCGGCCGGAGACTGTACGTTCCACGAATTTATAACCGGCGCTACATTGCTACGAGCAAGGAGCGCATCAATTTCTTTTGTTTCTTTATCCTTCTGCTTTGCGACGCGGTTTTTCAGCGCGACGGACAATCGCGAGGGTGCCAAATGATAGCGCACATTTAACATGTAAATTGCCGATGGCGATTCGCGCGATCGATTTTGCAACTCGGGAGCGGCGTTGCGAGCGGAACTTTGGCCTCTAATGACGCACGATTACGCGTAACACATTATCGCGAAATATACATATAACGCTAAACTAATTGGAGCGCGTGCCGCGCGGCCCCGTCTCCGTTACAGACGGCGCGACGTCCCGACGACGGCGTCGGGAGCATTTTCTTTCCCTTCTGCGGTTTGCTCCGCAAGAGTTTCACGCTCGCTCGCTGATGCGTGATATTGTATGATTTAGACAATCGTATAATGTAGCGCTCAGTCTATAAAGTGCAAACCGCGCGTATTACAGCGATCTAAAATGTGGCGCAGCCGGATGTTTCGTAGTTTCGAACTATTCCTCTCGTTACTTATGAGGAGACTGTCCCTGTGCCGGTGACATCTACACGAATCGGTAAGCTTCAGGATTGCGCTTTTTCCCCACTAAACGTTCTCTATTAGAACATGCGGTCTTAATGTTCCGACGCCGCGATGTCGGAGCACAGTTACAATCGAGACGAGAAAACAAACGACGTATCTGCGCTCGTTAATCGAACGACTTAAAAACCAGATCGAAAGTAGTATGTTATTCCCGAGTCGAAATTTTGGTTTAACTCTGTCGAACTTGAAAGACCAATTTGAAATTTTCAAATGTAGTACTACTACCTTGATCCTACCTTGATGCAATGAGAAACAGTTGCTCGCTGCCGTTTTTTCCATGCTGAATTGTAGCCTACCTCGAGGTAGGATTGGTTGCAAAACTATTTAACTATCCTTTAATATCCGGTGTTCCGTTTGCACATCTTATTAACATCGTAATTATTTTTGCTCAATCGATGCGAGGCAAGCAAGGCGATACTTCAAATATGTTTGTTTCTTCGCTATATCCTGAGAAAATACCTTACCCTAAGACGATAATAAATGCTACTCGCACATGATGATATATGATACACACATCTTGACTTACACATCTTATTTGGTTGGGTAAATAAAGTATACATACAGAGACAAGCGAATATTAAATGCGTAATATGGATAAATGGTGGGGTTGAGGAATAAATAAATCGGTATGCATTTTATCATAATCTTTCCGTTGTTCTTTCCGCCATTGCAAATTCCGATGGAATTTGTAGCTTTTAAAAGAGTTGATGCAAAAGCTGTACGGACAAAGACAAACAGAGTTGTGTCCAGTAATATGCTGTGCATCAACAGATATTTTGCATTTGTATTTGGTATGGTAACAATGGAAAGAAACAGAAGCGAACAAGCGTCGACAAATGTCAACAAAATACGCGACTCGTAGCGAAAAGAGCATTATTAGACGTGGCAAAATCAACACTTGCAAAATTTACATTAGATTTTAAGACCGATACTCATGGTTGTAAATTATTTATCATGCCTGATTAAGAATGTGTGTAATTATAGATTCGTATTCATATTTTATCGACAAATGTTATCCAGCTGTCTAAATCGATACGTGTCTTATCGTATAAAATAAATATCGGTAATGAATCCAAGAGATGAGTCAGAGATTTATAAAATTATAATTGCCAATAATTTATCCAATGATGACGAGCTACAAATATCGGCCTAAATTTCGACTCGGGTATCTCCTTGTATTCGGTCAATTCGTTAGAGACATTAATCAAAATCGGAAATTGTCCATATACGTATAATAAACGACTCGGCATATCTGGAAACATACGACATTTCCAACGGCAATAAAATGATAACCAAGGAATTATAGATGAAGAATGTTGGTCGTCCCATATATGTATACATTAATCTTGTTACTTACTTGCATTAATTTTCTTTCTTAACATTTGTTTATCCCATTTATGCATTTGACGGAGAACCATGGATACATTTTCTTTCTTTCCGACATAATTTTTCATCAATTCACACAGTCAATGTCTCATTGGCTTTATTAACAAATCAGTATATCGACAATCTCGCGGTGTATCGTATACGATTGTCTAATAGTTTATAGTTAATTGTACATCACCGTCGTTTCAACCATATCACTTAAAGTATCAAACAATTGAGAGATAAATCGTCATGTCATGTTGAAGGCTAGTGCGTTTAAACGAATTGTATCTCGTGTCTTGAACAACACGCGGTATGCACGGTATCTGAGAGGGTAGTCGAAACACCTTGTTTGCGCAATTGTTTTGTCGGCCGACAGCTCCGACAAGTTCTGCGGTCAGCGGTGCATTCGAAGTCGCCGTGAATCGGCTTGGCGATCGATAACGCATCGCGCAATAGGATTGGCTAACGAGATGCTATTTGCTTACAGGTTCTCATGGCTTTTCCACGGAAGCCACGGATGACTTTCCCGACGGGAGAAGAGTTTCAAAGTTTAACGATCCGACGTAGGTATAATGCATACAAACGAACGAACGAACGAACGAACGAACGAACGAACAAACCAGGAATGGACGAACGAATGAACGGACGGACGAATAAACGAACGAGCGAGCGAGCGAGCACGACGAATTCACGCGGCCCTTCTGGAATACGCGATGTCGAGACGTTGAATTTTTCAACCGCTGACCCGCGAGCTACGCCACGCGAATTAATTAACGATTCGGCCCCCGACCGACGATTAATTATGCCGGAAAAGGCGCTGCCACTTCGTCTTTAATGCCTGGCTGGCTATTTGTAACTCTGATTGCCGCGGTAATCTTCGGCTCTTGCAACTCGCGCAGATATCACGATTATTTGTTCGCAAAAGAAGCTTGCGCATCCAACTTTGTCAATATGCATATTTTTATGCAACTGATACTTGTACAATTTTCTTTCTTTTATTTTTTCGGATACTTGCATCGTCTCAAGTTTTTTTTTTATACCGATATCACAAATTTATAACAACATTTTATTTCGCTCCGAGTTGCAGAGGGCGAAGAAATTCTCGAGATTATATAATAGCGCGCAAGAGGGCGGAGTGTAATATAGATGATATAAAATTCTACATAAATTTATACTTTTCGTTTATGGCGGTAGAGAGGGTGTGGCGAAGCTCCGAACCAGAGAAGCGAGATGTATAAATATTCTATCTTTGAGATTAAATATCCCGAGGTGAGCGGAATTGCGGGAAGTTTGTCGGTGCGGCCGAGGCACAACGCGACTGGCTAAAGGCCGGTATAATGCTGCCGGGACGAATGGGGAGGGGGGAGGGGAATGCCGCGACGGTAAATCCGGCAAAAGCTTTATCTATTCCGGGACAATATCGCGGAATGGCAGAGCCGGCGAAACATCGGCGTAAGCTCTAACCGGTCGGCGACGACCATCATCGTCGCGCACCGGTCTCAAATCTATGCGGACGATACATTTGCAAATGGGCTGGGAGCTTTCCGAAAAGCGATCGCACGAATGTTAATTATTCCGTGGTCGTGCGATACCGCGATTCTTCGGGGTGAGGGGGACGTACTTGTGCGCGACCGATATACGTCGGGGGGGGAGGGGGAGTTATCAACAACGTGAGTGCAATCGCGTCCGCCCACATGATTGATTCGAATTCATTCGCGAACAAAGGAAGAATTCAAAAACAGACAGAGAGAGAGACAGAGAGAGAGAGAGAGAGAGAGAGAGAGAGAGAGAGACGGGCAATTCTTGCGATTGGTTCGCGTTAGGTGTACGTAGCGAAACGCACACGTGCGGGAGATAGCGCGCGTGATCTATCACCGGGAACGGACAACGAAGCAACGAAAAACAACGTGCGCAACGAGCAACGAAGCATGCGACGCAACGCACATGGCAGTGCAACCTAATGCAACCGACGACGGCGACGGCGGAGCACGGGAGCACACGCTCTCGACGCTTTCCGCGCTCGTTCCGCTCGACGGAGGAAAGAAGGGACTTCTCTAAGGGGAAAACGCGGCAAAGGGAAAAGGAAAATATCACGCGATTTCTTCCATCTAACGCAACGTCGGACACGTTGCGCGCGGGCGTCGGCGCCGGGCTCTCGGGCTCTCGGATGAAAAATGCAAGCTCCTCGGTCTGCCGCGCGTTTCCGCAATCGAAAATTCCGCCCGTGGAAACTTTGAAGACTTCGTTAACCCGGGCGAACAGTGAGAAAGGGCGTCACGAGAGCGCGCGGAACCGGCGGAAAACTTCTCGCGACGCGACGCGCGGCAGCGGCGACTGCGCCCTTCTTCCTCCACCACCACCCCCTCCGTCAATCTCACCACACCCCGTACCCCTTCGTCCCGCGTCGCGTCCCGCACTTCCCGGATGCAGTTTGAATAATCGCGGAAAAATAATTGAAACGGAAGGCTCAATTTATGGCCGGACAGTCGCGCCGGCCCGAGTCCTGGGCGAAAAATTATGGCGCTCCACCGCGCCGCGCCGGCTGCGCCGCACGGCCGCGGCCGCGAGCCGCCTCTGGGATTTATCAAGGTGGAGCGTTGGCGAATATTCCATTAGCGTGCGATGCGTTTTTAACGGAGGACCGATCTGTATAATCCGATTTCGTCGCGACGCGCATAATGATCGTCTCGGTGCGAATGATCGCACCGCGGAGCAACGTGGATTTGTCGACACTCTTTTTAACTTTGTGCTCTTTGAACGAAACGAGACAAACGGCGAGCGAGCGAGGTACAAACGTACATATATTGCACACGTTAACGATATTTAATCTTTTTAAGTTTAAGTGATGATGAGCCGATGAGCTCAAAAGACAGAGGCTGCGTTTTCCGCTGCGAGATAAAGCAGGACAAAAGACACAAAGCGCGCTCGCCGCGCGCGTTCGGTACGTTACGCACACGGGGGGAAATTGTCAACGGGACGGTACGACACGGTTGTGTCGAATGAAGCAGCAAATCGAAGTGACATGTCGCGCGTTGTTGTTAGGCCAAAGTCGCCGCCCTTAAAATTACCTCGTCGCAAATTACAATTATCGCCACTCGCCACCGCGGCACCGCGACGACGAATACGTCACGCTTGATACCTTTCGCAGGCCATATGGACGGTTTTCGTATTTACGAGCCGTTTAATCGCTTCCGTTTCTCCCGAGGCTCCATAACGCGGTTTGTTTTGCCTCGCATGCGCGATTCGTTGCGCGTTATCAAGCGAGAGAATCGGACGTCATCGCCTGCCTTCAATCCCACGACCGCCTTGGAATTTTCAAAGGGAAGCGCCGCGAGATGGAAAGTTCCGCCTGGCTTTTTACTTCATGCAAGAAGGGCGTTGCGCTCGTGGCGAGATTAAAGAATCCTCGTTCCATTACACTTTTTCGCAAAGATAATCGCGCTACGCTCGCTCTGTAATATACAGAGCGTCGCGCGTTCAACATAAAACAGCAATCTGCCGAGCTAATATGCTCTCTCTCTCTCTCTCTCTCTCTCTCTCTCTCTCTCTCTCTCTCTCATCGGTGTTGCTTTCTCCTATTCTTTCTTCTTCTGAACCACGCGAGTTAATGAGCGCCAACTACCCTAACGTGTGCCCATTTATCGCGACTTTACGCATAATTTTCGACACGTCGCGCACACGCCCGGATGACGAAAACAGCTGGCGGCATGCGCGTGCTCGGAACACGTGACGTCAGCGACGACTTCAGCCGCCGATATATAGCTTAGATGCATAGATTGCACATATTTCAACCCTCTCGCCCTCTTTCGTTCGCTCCGTCTCCTATCCTCTTCCCCCTTACCTACCTGTCCTACTCTCTCCTACCCCTCTATCTCTTCCTGCTTCTTTCGCTCTTTTCCGACCCACTGCTCACCCTTTCGCCGGGGTCAACGTACGTCGCCAGAAGATCTCGCTACAAACTCCTATGGGGGGAGGGGGGGGGGGGAGATCATATCTCCGCGGAAGGAAGCGGAAAAAAGTCCGGGAAACCGATAAATTACTCTTTGAGCGCAATATTAATCCCCGGACGGCCGGGGCGCTATTCGCGAGAATAACGCACCGATTCCGCGCGAGCTCGCCGTTTGCGCACGCCACGTCGTCGGCGTCGGCGCGACATTTGCATCTTTGCGAAATTTTTCCGCGATCATGAGATCCGTGTAAAACATTTCCTCGCTACGTAATATATATCTCGTACACGTATGCGCGTATACACTGACAAAAGTCGCAAGGGACACTCGGATGGAGAAAATACCACAGGATGTGCGCCAGGGCGTCGGCAACGCCCTGCAAAAAATGCAGTGACCGCGCCCGAGCCCCCATGCGGTACGTGTAAAAAAAGCATATATAGTAATCTTTTTCACGGTACCGCGTCAAATTCCCCGGAGTATATTAAAATGGCGAATACAAATCGCGCCTTACGCGCCTTACGCGCGAGTGATGCGCGGAGGCGCATACGTCCGTAGCAACGTCCTTTAGTTATTTCCAATAACACATCCGCGCGCGGTGAACGTTTCTCAGTCGCTCAGTTTCGCTTTAATTTCCCTCTTTTTTCTCTCGTATGATTCACTCGCTGAAGCACCGCACGCGCCGTGACCGCGCAAAATCAGAATCCAAAAGTTTCCGATCGCGCCTCGTTAACGAGGAAAAGTTTACGCGTGAGTGACACGAGACGCGATTTAACCTCTTCGTCAGTCGTAAAGTGTCGCTGTCGAGAGGAGTTTTTTTTTTAATACGGCGCTTATGACGCGCTCTCTCTCTCTCTCTCTCTCTCTCTCTCTCACACCCTCTCTTTCTCGCAGGAAGAAATGATGACGCTCTGCACATTAAATGTTCCATTCACAATAGAGGTTGAAGTTTCGTGCGCGGAAATTCATCGCGAAAGAGGCGAGATCTTACGTAGAGCGTGGAGAGCGCGCTCGTGTCCTCACGATGACAATCGTGCTGAATGAAGGTAAGTAACTGGGGAAAGAATCAGTGCACGGGAGCGAAAGAGGACAACGGCGACGAGGAGAGAAAGAAGAGAGGGATGGGGAGGGGAGGGGAGGAAGGAAAGGGAAGAGGAGAAAAGATAAGACAAGGGAGAGGCGAGAAAAAGGGAGGAAAGAAGCCGGCGAAACCCTTAAATTTACACGCGTCGCGGTCTCGCCCTTTGCGGCCTCCGCCTTCGCCCGCGGGCTCGTTAGAAGCCCTTTGTCGCGGCGTCGGATCATCTTTATTCTCGAGAGCGCGCCGGGCGTTTTTACATCGCTGGCTGATCGCGCATCACACTACGGAATACGGTAATACGGTCGTACTCACGGAGAACCGAGAGGACGCAAAGATCCAATTAGGCCGCGCTTACGGGTATCGTCTTACCTGAAACCAAAGAGAAATGGTTGTTATCAGTTACATGTCGCCGTCATCGCGAGAGCGAGCGCAAACGAGAGAGAACGCATGTCGGACAAACGTCGACAAACGTCGCGATCATCATCGCGGTGAAACGAACAAAAGAAGAAACTGTCCAATCCCACATTTAGCAAAAGGTCGGAAGAGAAAAGGAAGAAGAAAAAGGAAATAAAAAAAGAATGCCGCGTTATGACGTAGCTGACATCGAGGGATTGAATAGCCAGCCATCGAATACGATCGCGTACGATCGAGTAATTCGAGACGTCGAATGTTTCCACGTGGTAATCTCTTTTATGACTAGCATACGCGACGGTGAACACGCGGTGAACAATGCGTTCACGCGCGCGCGCGTGAACGGGTGCCAGTCGTCTCGCGGCATGCGTAGCGATTGCACTCGTTGGCTTTTTCGCGGCACGACGATGGTGCCTGTCCTTTGACAATGGGATCGCACGGAAAATATTTGCCGAAAAGCCGTAGAATACGATAGTCGGTGTCGCGCTCCGTCGCGCCGCATCGCGTCGCGTCAATCGGTCGTGTAATCCGTTGACAAATAATACCCGTAACTATCCGAGCGCGTTATGCATACTCGTCGTCGCGATACACCTGCTAATTTGCGAATTATTATTTGCGCACATGTGTGTGTATACGTGTGTAACGAAATAATTGTACATAACATCACTATGACATTACGTTATTATATTGTTGCAGGTTGCATATTAAAGCTACCGAGTAGTGTCTCCAGTTACGTCAGCATTCCAAACTGTTGATACTCTACGCTGAACGCTGAACATGACTGCTTCGCGATGTTGTCCAAACGCTGTCGTCTAACGATTTGATAAGTGATATTCCTTGGTACAAAGTGTTGAGTAATAAAGTCACCGTTGGCTCGTCTTAATGATTCAACAGCTGTAAGCGGAAAGACGAATACAACATAATCTAGGCTAACCTGTACCTGTACAATGAGAGAGATCTGAGGGTAGCAGGCGTTAAGAAAGAGCCAGAGACGAAACGAAAGAAAAAGCGACTGCTCGCAATTGCAATTGCCGTCGAGAGGAAAGCATTGTGTGTGTGTGTGTGTGTGTGTGCATGCACACACACACACACACACACACACACCTTCGACATCTGATATTTCGAGAGTATTAAATTCCTTGGGTCTGCACACGCGTGCGCGCGCGCACCCACGCCCTTGTGAGCGACAGCCGAGCAGGAGGAAGGTTTTCAACATGGCGGTGGTGGCGAAAAAGAACACCGACTCTCCCTCGTTCACGCCACACAGAGCGTCATCATGCAGTGCGCGTGACCGCGTTTCCTCGGGAATAGACACCACGTCGCGGATGTGTTGTCTCCGCTCCTTTATGTCTGTCGTATTCGCCGGCGATATATAAACGCGTCTAAAGAATTAAAGGGAGAGAGCGGGAGGGATGAAATCACTGTTGCGCAACGGAGAAAGCTTCATGAAGAGTTGGCGCAATTCTTCACGCGGTAGCTTGCGAACTTATTTCTGTAGAGACTGTACGAATCCTCCCCTGCCCCCCCCCCCCCACACACACACACACAGCATCTTTACTCTCGAAAGATTCACTGCTTGATTGAAATTAGCGACATCGCCGTTAGAGATATCGATGTAACGGCAAAAACAACAGAGTTTTCATTAAAACACCATTTCGACACGGCTTGTGTTATGCGACAAGAGGCACAGGCAAGTTTTCGCTCCGCCGCAACCCCTGTCTCTTCTCGGATGAGAACTTCAAGTCACGCGCGATGAAGAGCAATTCTGCGAGCAAATACGTGCAGTTTGATCAAGACTCCGAGCGTTTGCTTTGTCGCCCTGTCGCCCGTGCCCGCGGATATACCGTATGCGGTCAGAAACGAAATTGTGCGCTCAGTGTTGTTCGCGGTGCGTCATCATTCGGAGGAGGGAGGGAGGGGAGAGTGTTATATCAATCGTAAATTTATCATCGATCTCCGACGTACACGGTATCTGTCCCAGATACGATGAGACTGGTTCCATCAAAGTTCTCAGCGCAACGATATCTATGAGTGAATGATGGTAGGTGAATGTTCTACCCTTCATCTACTTAACCTCAAAATTTGAGCGAATTCGGATTGATATTTCACTGTGGTTTGACATTTTATGTAAAGTCACTTTGTGTACGTCGGTCGAGAAACCAACATGGAACATGTTTTAAATTGGGTAAAAGTGGTGCAGAAACGTACGAAACGCTAAAAAATGTGTACGGGGATGAACGCATGTCCCGTGCACAGGTTTTCCGTTGGTTTGGCCGATTCCGTGACGGTCGTGAGGACCTTGCGGACGATGACCGAGCACCGCCGCCAAAAACCACTCGCAATGAAGAAAACATCGAGAAAGTCAAAGAAATTCTTCGAAGCGACCGCTGTGTGTCTGCCCAGGTATTATCTGGGAGTTCTACAACGATTGTGGGCCAGAATTCGACGAGTTCGACCGGAATATCGAGAGCCAGGCAGTTGGTTTTTATTGCATTTTGGTGCACGATAATGCACCATCGCACAAAGCCATCATGATATCGTGAATTCTTGACCAAAAAAGGCATCATTGTCATCGATCATCCACCTGATTGTTCACCTGATTTGGCTCCGTGCGACTTCTGGCTATTTCCCAAACTGAAATTGCCGATGAAAGGAAATCGTTTCGATACCATCCCGCGCGTCATCCGAAAGACTTCGACCGCCATACTAAAGGCCATTCCAGCCGATGAGTATAAAAAATGTTTCGAAAAATTTGTTGAACGTTTCCAGCGCTGTATTGACTCAGAAGGAGACTATTTTGAATAAACAAGAATAAAAAACCAAAATAATAAACGCTTTGTATTTTTTTAGACCAGTCTCATTGGATCTGGGTATGACAGACTGTGCACGGCAAGCCCAAAACCCGCCGTGAAATCGCAAAGTCGGAAAGTAATTTTCGCGCCGCGGTAAAATCTCCGTCCGTCACGTACGGGGATTACATGCGAGTGCGCACGCGCGGCGCGTTCGACGTTGTTCGCGATGACGAAACATCAAGCGACGATAGCGAAGATAATACTCGCCGGCTATTACGCGCGCCACTCATTAACGATAGCCATTGTTTGACACGCGTATCCATTTCGACACAAATGCCAAGGTGACTGCGGTGATTACGATTGTTGCGGAGGCACGGTCTTAATTAATATGCGAATCTTACGAGAGGCACGGGCGCGCGCTTGTAACGCGCGTTAAACTCGCGTCGTGCGGCGAATTAACTTCCTTATTAACGACCGCGACACCGCCGTTATATTATATTATATAAGGTGTTAAAACGGGGTATGATATACGTTGTCAGTTGTGGAAGAACAAGAGAAGGAAAAAGAAAACGACAGATCTCCAATTGCGCGGACACGCATCCCGCAGATTTGTGTCGCATCTTCGAATTTTAGATTCCCGCGCGATGTGAGACAAGGAAAAATATAATAGAAGCGAAATCGATGTAAATAATATTCGATTGCTTCGTAGCAAAATATGTAATTGTGACTACTTTCATCACTTTTACTCATTTATTTGTCGACGCTCGTGTCTGTGACATGAATGACGTAGAGTCAACGGTGGAAAGGGGGGAACAACGTGTAGTGATCGCGCGCGCGCGAAAGAGAGAGAGAGAGAGAGAGACGATATAATTTCTAATTCGAGACGCGCGCGCGCGTTACCATAACTTATCCCGGCGTGTAGGAGCTCGCGCAGAAACCACTCGCAAAGTTAGCGAGCGGCGTCATAACGCCGCGTGCGTTATACGGGCAAATCGCTCGATCGGCTGGAAAGGAAATTTACGAGCCGGCTCTACGCTGCAACGTTGCACCGCGATAATTTTCCGGCGACAAATTTCGCTTTCTGCCCCGGGTCGGCAAGAGACGGGTGAGGCAAGAGAGGAGGAGGAGTAGAGTCGCTTTTCAAATCGCGTAAAGATCAATTCACCACTGGAGGCAAGCGGACAACAAGTTGATCGTCGTCGTCTCGACCGATGTCGGATAAATTATGTTCGAAATATCGAGTCTCGCGACGACTGATTATTACGATGCGAGTAACATTCATGAAGGAAAGAAGAGAGAAATTTTGCACGAGTTAACGTATTTTTGCGCGACACACAGATATCTCTCTCTCTCTCTCTCTCTCTCTCTGTGGCAATTCCGTCATGTCCGCGCGCGTGCGCACGCATACGCGTACAGACCGGCAATTAAAAAAGTCCACACGAGAAGATCCACACGCGCGAACGAGGCCGAAAAATAAAAATCTTCGATGTACACGCTCCCTTTGTGCAATCATATTTCATCGGAGAAGGCATATCCTGCGCCTCCTCCTCTCGGATGTACATCAGTCGCAAAATCGATACAGCGTTCCTCGCTTTTGCATCGCGAAAGTTTCGGAGGATACCGCCGCTCGCTCATAACGACGTGACGACACTTTGCGGTGCTGTCACGTTGGTACATCGGTACGCACCGATACACCCCGCACCGTAGCATCGTCGTAATGTGAAACGGCCTTAATCCGTCCTCATCGTCGGTGCCGCGCGCGGCACCGAAACCGGTTCTCAAGTTCTCAGACAGGCCGAAGCTCGGTCCGCGTACATACCGCGCACCATCGATTATCATATTAAATGTACCGGTATGTTTGCGGTCATTGGGTTGAGGTGGGACACGCCGGATTTATACATTCGTTCTTCCATTCTTGCCGCGCGGTCGTCGTATAATCGATACGATTTTGCCCCCGTCATTTTCTGTGTCTCACCCCGTGTGGCCGACGAACGGCCTGCTTCCCCCCCCTCCTCTCTCTCTCTCTCTCTCTCTCTCTCGAGCGCGCGCGCGCGCGCACTCTCGACAGAAACAAAGCGATTGTAACTTTCGGCTGCTTCTCGTGGCTGTGCGCGATTCAACGGCGCGCTTTTCTCGAAATGGCTATCGCAACCACTGAAAAATAATTATGCGGCATTGTTACGCGAACGTCCAATGCGTCCGAGATTGAATTCAAGCGCGCTACGAGTGCACGTGTGTTTACTAATAATAACGAGTTTGCGGTAAATCGTAACAATTACTACAACAGTAGCGACATTAATGCGCCGAAATTTAATGTTTTAACATCATAATGCTGTGGGGAAATGATGAATTGATAGCAAAACGTATGAAATCCTATTGAAATGAATTAATTATTACACGCGAATCATAATGTTGACGTGCAATATTTAGCGTTGGGACGTTCACAATACGGCTGCAAATTAGCCCGATCGTTTTCACGACAAACCGAGTCGAAACGAAATTCTCCGCTTCGCATTTTAGAAACAGCGCGAAATCGCGTTGTCGGCGTAACTCTTGGAAATTCTTCCACCGCGGGGCGTACTGCTCCAATACCTGATATACACACACTCTCTCTCTCTCTCTCTCTCTCTCTCTCTCTCTCTCTCTCTCTCTCTCTCGTTTCTTCCTCACCCGCCGCGTGTTCTCTACGATCGCACTCGAAAGAGCGAACTTGAAAAGGTAAATTAGAGAGTTCCTCGAATCGATCAGACCGTGCACGGTCGGTTGCTACCTCGATGATAATAGGTCGAGAATCTCAGGGGAAGCCGGCAAGAGCACGAACATTGTTTGAGACTCGTGTTATGCGAATAACACACGAACGGCGTTATTGTTATTGTTAGATCGAAGGGAACGCGCGCAACGTGATTGCTCTGGGAAAGAGACACGTGGACTCGCTCGCTCTCTCTCTCTCTCTCTCTCTCTCTCGCTCTCTCTCTCTCTCTCTCTCTCTCTCTCTGCTTCTCTCGAAAAGAGAGAGAGAGAAGCACCAATCGCGTCCTCGCAGACAGCAGACAGAATTTCCACGAAGGAGATGATTAATTCTTCGGCGGAAGCCAAA